AAGGGCCTCACAATATGTCATTTCAGGAGATAAAATTTTAGCACACGTTTCTGGACAGTCTCAAGTTCGTCTGCCAAATACTTTGGGATGGAATGATGGAAGGCTTGCGCACAATACTCGAGCACAGGCCTGATCACTGTACAATAAAAGTTCAAGACATCATTGACATTTACGCTTGCCCGTTTCAATAGTACTATAAAATAGAGGCGTTTATTAGCTTTCTTTATACTTTCTCTGATGTTATCTTTCCACTGAAGTGTGCCTGTCATAACAAGACCCAATATTTTTGCACTCTCAACTATAGGCAATGCTTCTCCACCCACCAGTACAGGATCAAAATGTTGTTTAATTCTTTTAAAATCGATTCTCAGTTCTTTACATTTCTCAGTGTTAAGAGATAGCCCATTTGCCTTCGACCAATCTTCCACAACATCAACTGCGACTTGAACACGGCTCTCTGTGTCCTTACTAACTACTTCAGCAACTGTTGTGTCATCAACAAACTTCCACCTCCATATATCACAAATATCAAGATCGTTTATCATTAAACAAAATAGCCAGGGCCCTAATTTTGTACCTTGAGGGATACCGGAAAGTACATCTCCCCACCCCGAATAACAGTCATTGGATAATTTCACTCTCTGCTTTCGATTCATCAAAAAATCGATTGTCCAGCGAGCAACCGCACGTGGAATAGCTAAACTGGAAATTTTATCAGCCAGTAAAGCATGATCGATAAGGTCGAATGCTTTTCTATAATCGAACAGGATGACTCTGACAGCAGAGCCAGTGCCATCAGTAGCTTGCGACCATTCATGGATCATAGATATAACAGCGAGAGTAGTTGAACTTCTTGGTATTACTCCATATTGACTTGGATCGATTATACTCATGATAGCCGGAGCAATGTATTTTTTAACAATACAGTCCTCAGTGATTTTCGAAATAGCGGCAGTAAGTGAAATTGGTCGTAACTGCTTACAAATGTCGCTAACGGGCTTAGTTTTTATGAGGGGCACAATGTTGGCAAGCTTCCAAGATTTAGGTAGTTGTTGTTCGGCATAGCTGCTGTTTAGCACAGCGCATACTGGCTGTGCAAGGATTTCAGCATATTCCTTAAGAGCCCAATTGGGAATTTCGTCAGGACCTGACGCCTTTTCACGATTAATTGCTTTCAGTAAATGAAAGACTTCCAATTCGTTCACTTGAAAAGAGGAATAATTATCAAAGGGGGGAAGGGTTGACAGTGGATTGAAGGAGTTCATGGGCTCCAAAAAGGCGTTATTAATTAAATTCGCAATGTCAGGACGTTGCATATTCTCGATATCGTCTAAATGAAGTTGACTACATAGGTCATCGGAGCCGGTTGTAGGTACCATACCAGCAATCTGTTTCACCTCCTTCCACCATCTCTTCGGTTTGGTCGATTTAAGATTCTTTACTTTTGAAGAGTAGAATTTCGCCCGGCATGTCTTTCGCTCGCGGTTAACCCGATTCCGGTAATACTTGAACTGAAAGGTATTTCCACTGCAGAAGGCAGCTTGACGCTTCCTTATAAGCTCTTTAAATTCTGCAGTAATCCATGGAGGATCGTGTACATGCAAAGCCGTTTTCTTTATTGGCATAATGGTGCTAATACCGAGACGTACTAACTCTTCGAAATACTGGAGTTTCATTTCGCATGTGTCAAAATGATTCAGAGAGGACCAATCGATAGATGTAAGGTATCTTCCAAGCTCATGCCTTTTACTAGATCGTAAATCTCTACTAGAGATAATTCTTCTACTGCATGACTTGGGTTCTCTTTTGCAAGGATTGACAATCACAACATTATGATCTGAAAGACCAAATGGCGGAAATTTTTCGACAGAGTTCTTATCATAAAACGAATGTAAGTTGGTTATTATTAGATCCAAAGTCTGGTTGGCCCTTGTGGAAACGTTAACAATCTGTTTGCAACTGAACTGTGTTAATATCCGATTGCATTTTAACCGATTAAAGTCGCCTGTAAGAATAAACCCACAGCCAGGATAAGTGCTTTCAATAGTAATCAGTGATGTGGAGAGAAATTGGAGCATTTCATCATCATTAGCATTAGGTGGATGGTAAACGACACCAAGTATCAAGCAGGAAAACCCGCGGGGAAGTCTACTTGGACGAAAATAGACCCACAGAACTTCGTAATCTGTATGGTGGAGATGATTCAGAGGCTTATAAAATATCGTGTTCCTGATGTACACCCCAACCCCTCCGTGGGAGCCCACACTGCGGTTTTTATGAACAAAATTGTAACCTGGAATATCGAGGCAGGAATCTGAGATACGGTCATTTAGCCATGTTTCCGTTATACAGGCAAGGTCAGGACTCTTTTCTGTGACAAAACAACTCACTTCATCAATTTTGGGAGCTAATGACATCGTATTTGTCAATAATAGTTTCGGAACGTAGAAATAGTCATTAGCATTGGAAATAACAGTTTTATTAATGTTAATTTGAATAATATTGTTTAAATTACGTTGTCCGCGATGAATTGAAGTAGGGCGACCTGATAGGGAAAAATCATGTTCTAGTAATAATACTGGAACATGATTTTTCCCTATCAGGTCGCCCTACTTCAATTCATCGCGGACAACGTCAATGTCGTAAAATGTCCATGTTGTCTGTGTGTAATGTCTATATAGAAAACATTATTTGTAATAATACTAGCATGTATCATTTTATACTAACAGGACAGAAATACATATTTTCTCTACCACAAATTTCCCTTGCGTAAATGGGATACGTTAACTGATATTTTATTCCTATTTTGTGGTCCATAATCTAATCATGATCTACCACACCATCCCAAGTCATGTTTGTGGATTAAGTGTTCCCATTACAATGCAAAATTTTATGTCCTATCACGTTTACATGCTAAAAAGTGAATGTGAATTATGTTATGTTAGGTTATGATGATATTGTGGGTGTGTTACAGGTAGTTGTTGAATTGTGAATTGAGAGTTGTGTACGCAGAGAGCGTGAATTGCAGAGTTGTTTAAAGTGAATGAATTGTCGATGCGCAATCGTGTGGGGCTAATTCTAGTATAAATACAGTACCAATAAGTAACATAAAACTATAAGTAACATGCAAGGATCATTGTGAAAGGACGTGCACTAAACAAGTGTAAATATTTGTACTTAAATTAATTAATAAAAATATTTTAAAAATATTTTAAAAATACAATCCCTCGTGTGCAGTACCTTGAGTCAGCAACCAGCCTGGTTTAAATCGCACAAAGTTACGCAATAGTCAACGCTCAAGCAGGTTCCATATCATGTCAGCAAGGAAACGGCAACGGGTTGGTTCGCTTTTGGGCTGAGGGATATACCCACAAGGATATGGCCTCTTTTTCAGTCCACTGGAATTTTTAATTTTTTATTGTGGCAAGTATCGGGGGATATGGTAGATACAGGAGTGACTGTATCCTTGGTAAAATGTCAAAGTTTGTACCGGATCCCTTAATACTGTCTTCGTTAAAAGCACGAGGAATCGGCGGTGAGGAACTTCAAGTCCATGGCCAAGCAGACTTTAATTCTAAAAGCGGGTAAAAACGCTAGTCGATGAAGGAAAATCTAAGCTGTCCTGGCCAGGTGGTGAGATGCAACTGGTTGTGGAACGTATACAATCCCATCTGTTAATAAGTTAGGTGTCTTATTAGAAAAGACCTCCCTCCAAAAAATCGGCTGCTATACGCAAGCGAAATAACCTGTTGAATTTCAGTCGGGACACATAGCACGTAATTGACCACCAAGTTATTGAGATGCTAGAGCGAGGTCTCATTAGACTATAAGCACTAGTCCCTGGTCATCGCATATTGTTTTGGAACAGAAGAACGATAGGAACGATCGGTTTTGCGTAGATTTCCGAAGGGTAAGTTCGGTCACGTGGATGCATGTACACCAAATACCACGCAATGATGGGCATTCTTGAGTGCAAGCTGTTTTATTACCCTTGATCTCGCTCCTGGCTATTGCTCGTTTGCAATCGACGCCATCTTGGTTGATTTTTCAAAAACACGTGGCAACCATAAAATTTATTTTCTTCATTCTTTGACATATTGAGCCAGAAACCGTAAAACTATCCATATACAGTAAACTATTCTCAAAACAAACCAGAAATATTAAATTAACTCGACTACTTCACTGTAGGCGGCTAAACTAAACTTTTAGATCAACCAAGATGGCGCCCAATGATACGTAGTGACGTCATGTGCAAGCCAAGAATTGGCAAGTTCCATTAAGAGAGGAAGAATTGGTTTGACCAATGCTCAAAGTTTGATGAGTTCCATCCTTAGGGGAGAAAAGGCTGCTCAGTGTTCCTGGATGACATTATTATTATTATCTCTGATACCTGGGAGAAACATATTTTAAACCTAGAGGAAGTGCTTGGTTGGATTCGTGCCGCCAGTCTGAAACTTAAGAAGGACAAGTGCCTGTTTAGGTAGTGGTTGGTGAAATTTCTTGGCCATATTGTTTCTGCACGTGGCACGGAGCCAGGCACCGAGAAGTAAAAGCTGTGCAAATGAAGTTCGAGCCTTTGTCGGTATGGCATCTTGCTATCCACACTTTGTATCGCTGTTCCTCTTCATGACCTCACAAAAGGCAAACTGATATTCTGCTGGTCAGCGCAGGCTGACAAAGCCTCCGCCACTCTCAAGAATCACCTAGTGTTCTCACTTTACCACATTTTTCACTCCTCATTACCCAGTTACATGTACGTCAGTGATGTTGGTCTCAGTGTCGTACTAACTCAACAGAAAGGTAACTGCGAACATGTTATTGCCTATGCCAGTTGCAACTTGGTCTCACCAGAAAAGAAGGTACTGTCTCAAGCATTTGTTTCAACTTTCGACATTTTGGCCTGCACATACAATGACAGAATGACTAGCCACGCTCTGCAAACTGCATAAGATCTTCCACACAGATATTGTTCAGATCACACCACATGTCCATGATTCAGGCTCACAAATATCATTAATTAGCAGCATGCATGTTCACAATTTTACACAAATACTTGCTTGAATGATTTAGCTTGTCACTTTTACTTATCTCCCTTCGTAAATAGGGAATAAGTTGTTTGTAGATGTTTGGGATTAACTTTTTGGCCCAATTTTTTTCGCCCAACAATTTCTATCACATGCACTTTAAAGATCAAGCCCCTCCTGGCCCCACACTTGTTGAGGATAAGGGCTGTCATTGGCTAATTATTGAGAAGGCAATTTCATGGCCAAAACAAGCATATCTTATATGTGCCGACATTGGGAACCTGCTATTAAAGTAGGTATGTGCAGGAGACTACTATTATGGACAAAAAAAGTGGCCCCCCATAAAAAATGGTATATCCTGTTCTCTGTCATCATAAGTAAAGAAAGTCCTAACAAAAGTTATGTTTTTGAACTTACTTGTTTAGTTTTGTGTACGTGTGAATAAAATTTGTGATTTCAAGTCAAGAATTAGAAAAATAGATCATACACGTGTGAAAACTGACGTTTGCTGCATCACATCAGTTCCTCCCGATTCATTCAAACCTTTGGGCAGGTCATTTCTGGATGACTAATAGCAAAGTAAAACCGCATAATATAGATATCATCCAACGATATTCGTACATTTCTGATTCAAACCCGCCATCTTTAATTTTGAGTAAAAACTCTGTAAACATAGATAAAACGTTTAGACAGATTCGCACATCGGAGAACAAAATCAAACTTTTCTGACAGTTGGCTTGTAACAACCCAGGAAGAAAAGATGTAGTGTTTTGCATCAAATTGTGTGGCACTGTGGCAACGGTTTATTGAAATATTGCAATATAGCTTTACCAGTATATCATAACTTAGTAACAGCACTGGCTTGGGGGGACACTTTCGTTATTATAAAAATACTTACTTTTCTGCAGTAATCTGCACTACATTCTAGCCATTCAGTACCCTGACGATAAGACTGCATGCACACATGAAATAATTACATTAACTATTGGAGCTTTACCCCATTCCACTTTTGTGACTAAGTTAGGAATATCAGAACATTGTGGCAAGAAGAATTTTGGCACATTTCTGACTCAAATCCGCCATCTTTAATTTTGAGTAAAAACTCTGTAAACATATCTATTTTTCTAATCCTTGACTTGAAATCACAAATTTTATTCACACATACACAAAACGAAACAAGTAAGTTCAAAAACATAACTTTTGCTAAGACTTTCTTTATTTATGGTGGCAAAAAAACAGGATATACCATTTCTTATGGGGGGGCACTTTTTTTTGTCCACCCCCTGTACATAGGTCTGTAAAAATGCTTATGGTCAATTAGTCATGATGGGCACATTAGCTCATATCATGGATTCATTCATGGTTAGACCTGATGTTGAGCAATGGCATTATGCCCAGGGTTCGAGATTGGCGGTATCCTAGTATCCTTGATGGTACCAGTTTTCAATTTTGGATACCAGATGTCAAAACCTTGGTATCCTAACTGGATACCAGGAAATTCTTCTTTAAATATCAATTTTTGAACATTACTTATAAACTTTATCAAGGGGAATCACAAATATATACATAATTTTACAGATAAGTTTTGAAACGCTTGTAAATTTCGAGTAGCGAACGCTATAATATACTTTGCTTCAAATTTCACTTCCGGTACCTAATTGCTGAGAGCCTGAAACACCCGCAAATTCACCTGAAATTGGCAGGTGTTTTCATTATCAGGCTACAATTCCACTTCTGCATTCTTCTTTGTTTTCATCTTGAAGCATATGATTGTTCGAATAGCAAATTTAATTAAAGTGACAATAAATTTACAATCAGACTTTGAAGGATTTATTATTTAGCTATTTTAATCATTACAGCAAAATAGTCTAGTGAAGAACAAACAAATTTATAATATGTTTATATATATGGTTAGGGTAATATTTATTTAGAAATAATGCATATCTATTCTACTTTGTAACTTTAATTAGGGGCCACATCCATATTCACGTTGCCATGCATTTAACGTCGAATCGACGTTATCACCAGTACCCATCCACCCCCCTCAGATAACGTCGATCGTTACCCTGTCGTATTTTGACCGCTAAAAGAGCTCAAAATCAAAATGGCAACTGAAATATGGTATATAATCAATCAATTTATCTCAGAAATGCACTAAAATGCTTAGGGTTCAATTCAAAGTTACTGACTATTGTACTTGCCTTCGTTGGCGCCAATTAATGTAGGCTCTTTATTATAAAATATGAGAAGTTTTATCGCAGAAAAATGTTGTGATGCACAAACACAATTTGACCGGTATTCGACATGAAAAAAAACGTCGCTTCAATACTTCGACCTTTGTTTTGACCTCTATTAGTTGAAAATAATATAATACCAGTTGGCAAAAGTTGCACAGCAAACATTAAATATTTAAACTTTGGTCTGTTCGGATGTAAATAGTCAAATTGCCACAAGATAACGTCAAGGAGTTGACGTAAAAACCCACCCACCCATAACGTTGATTGAACATTATGCGTGGCAACATGAATATGGATATGTTTGCGATATTACTCTGAGTGCATATCCACACCGGGCGAGCTTGAAAAATATGCCCGGCCACGGTGGG